TTAGGATAAATCCCCATTGTCTGCAGAGAAATAGGCTTCACGTTCATGAGGTCTAACGTAAAGATAAAGTTATAAACACTATGCAAACAAAATAACGCTGTTTTCGTCGGATAGATTCATATATATTCCACACCAGACGTCATTTTGACCTAGAATATTGTCTTAGACATTACATGGGATCAAAAGCGATATTTTATTCAAGTAAGAATGGCAAGAATCGTTTGTACTGGTATAAACTTCATAGGGACTTCCAGCATGGATATAGTCAGATATGCATCACACCAGACATCTCAGCCCCAAAACAGTACCCTATACATTGTGCACCGCTAATGAACTAGTGCAATGTCTTATTCAATTTTGAACCTTTACGTCTAACATGAATCGCTTACATTCGTGTTAAATTCAGAGGGACTTCCAGCGTGGGTTTATACCCCGGCAAATTGCCCCAAGAACCCTCCAATCCTAGTGTTTTTTCACGGTGGAGGCTGGGTCATCGGTTCATTGATCGATGCGGATACTTTCGTGAAGATGCTAACTGAGTAAGTCTTTTTTAATTCATAGTTTCTATAAACACAGGGAACATCTCTTCAAGAGATGTTTTCAAAGATGCTTTTAAAAAATGTAATTTTTTACAATTTGATAACTACGGAAGTATCCCCTTAAAATATTTCTTAGATACTGACAAAGTAAGTTCGTTTATAATGTTAAACACAGAAAAATCTCTCCTGAAAATACTTTCGTGAAGATGCTGGCTGAGTACACCTTTTTTATAATTTTTTTAACTTAATAAGATATTTTCTGAAAATAGTTTAGTAAAGCCCCTGAAGGTGATGAAGCCCCCGATCCTTTGCTTAGCACTTACCTGTACAGAAACATCTCCTGAAACCAAAAGATATCATATAAATTCAATGAGTACTAAATTAATTATCAGTTACATTTGCTGACACTTTGTGCTACATAAAATGTCAAATGTGCATGGCAGATATGTAGTATTACAAAGCATTCACAAATAATTCTGTTGATGGTAATAGTATATCTCAGGTAATATGCGAATTGAAACATAATCTCCCTTTTCGATCTTTTAAATAGGGATTACACTGATTTTCTGATTTTTTTAAACCTAATTGTAATTGCTGCCCATTTATACATGGCTGTATGGTCGTCTACCGGTATATGTATAGTTGGCTCTTTAACAATAGCAGTACAATTATATAAGTAAATAACAACTAATTTTTAAAATCACCTTTTTTTTATGAAGCTGTTCAATTATGTTTTACATTTAGTACCGCCAACTGCATCATAGTGAGCGTAGACTACCGCCTGGCACCAGAGCACAAATATCCCGCTGCCATTGACGACGCCGAGACTACCGCCAAATGGGTTCTGGGGAACAAGGAATCTGTCGGTAAGCATATAAATAGTAATATGTTGTTGTTAACGATAATGACATTGGAAAAAGTTACATACTGATAGATGAAACAATATTAGACAAATTAATAGATTTATTCGGTAAATCAAGGCAACAAATCTATATACACTATCGATAACACTAACAAAAAAAAAAAAATATATATATATATATATATATATATATATTTTTTTTTTTTTTTTTTTTTTGTTAGTGTTATTGATAGTGTATATATATATATATATTTATATATAAATACGTTTCTGATAGACTTATTACAAAATTATTGCAGTAAATTAGTGAGAAATATTAAAGTCTACAGATTATAAAACGCTTCCATCTGTTTCTGAGCATTTAAAGAGGAGTAGAAAAGAGGACTTAGTTTTTCAAAATTTTTCTGCAATATAACAGGCGGCAGCACACTCAGTAAGGTTGGTGTCATAGGTGACAGCGCGGGAGGACATCTATCGGCCTGTGTGTCACATGATGTCCCAGGAATAGCATTTCAGGTAAAATGATGTTTTCAACTTATATATATATATATACAGAAATACAATTCAATATATATATATATATATATATATATATATATATATATATATATATGTTTCTGTATATTCTGTATATATTTATGTATATTGAATTGTATTTCTGGTATTTTGACCATTGGAAGTGTTTGAATAAACCTCAATTTAAAATCTAGACAAATTTATATACCTGAAAACTAAATTGTTTTCTAAAAAGCATAGAAAACGAAGGGGGCTCGTCTTTAATTAAAAGATTTATCTTTTAAAAAAGATTATGAAAAAAAGAAAGAAAGAAAATGAAAAAAATTCCTTTCTCCTTGAAATCAAGTACAAATATGCAACATACACAACAACGCAATCATTTCATCGTGTTTTCTCGTCTGACAAACTGTGAAACAAACTACATGTACAATATCGAAGTTTTACTGACTTAATATGCATTACGAACCGCCTGTCAGTCTCAGTTTTGTGACTTTAAAGATACTGGCACGCTGAATTTACATGTTCTGTCCCAGGTGCTCATCTATCCGGTGACGGATATGCGGATTGACACCCGGGAGTCGTACAAACGCTATGCGGAAGGCTACGTTCTTACCACTGAGTCTATGTACTGGTAAGTAAGAGCAGTAAACTTAAAATTTTGGGTGAACTGATACCTGAGACAGTTCCATCAAATTACAGCGTCTTTGCGGTTCCTTTCTTTATATCCACTGAGCCTTTTGTTATGGTCTTGTTTTCAAGGTTTGTAAATCACTTCCTCCACAACGAGGCTGAGAGGTCGGATCCACGTGCATCTCCAATTCTCCGGACAAAATTTGACCACCTTCCACCGGCCTTGTACGTCGCCGCTACCCATGATGTTCTGTTTGACGAAGGAATGGGTAAATTTCATCCACTTACTAATTGATAAGTTAATAAATCCATCAATTAATTTGCTTTGTTGAAATATTCATTTTATTTAGCTTTATACCTACCGTGGTTATTTTTAATTAAAATGCTTAGATTAGTTGAGTGTTTTGATGCTTATTTAGTGATGAATCTATCTATGATTTTAACTTTATTTTTCTGTTCCATGTTATTTTAAAGGTACAAAGGGCATTTTCTTTCCGATCGAAGCCAATATATTTAAATCAACTCTACGAAGATGCTGAACATTACATTTGAATGAACAGAAGCTGCCAATTAACGTATCTGTTTTTATATAATACCGAAGCTACGCCATATCTTTGCCTTTTAGAATATGCCCAAAAACTGAAAGAAGCGGGTGTAACGATTGAAACCCTTATGTTAGAGGGCATCACCCACTGTTCGATAAATTTCCCAAGTAAGTTATTTTTATTTTTCTATACTCTTTAGTACATGTACTCTTTAGTATGGCATTTCAGCATTTAAAAACACTTAGAATTCTGATAGACATCAATCCATTATGATAACCTTTATTGTTATTATTGCTATAATTGTTTACTTCGTTACTGTTATAAAGCATTCCCAGAGATTTAGATCGATCCAACTAGATCGACCTAACTCCTTGGGGGTTTGCGCTAAATTGCTGTTAGCCGACCGCGCAAGGAAGTTAATTACCCCCTTACAGCTTTTAGTAGGCGGGACAGACATTCAAGCCGGCTAAGCTGACAGTAATCTAGTAAGACTCCCCACGGGGATAGATCGATCTTAAATCTGTGGGAATGGGGTCTTAGTTTCCATAAGATATTTAATCCTCACCCGTCCAGCCTTCCGGATGCACACACCACTATACCTTGTACAACGTCGAGCAGTGCCTATTTGTTATTTTTCAGATTATTACAAAGAGACGGATGACATGACATGCAGGAAGATCGCAGAGTTCGTAAAAAAGCATTCTGAATAAACATCCGCCGTTCCAGCATTTAACCATGAGAAGCAAGACGTGCTCACATAACTGAGAATTTACTACAAGTTAGGATGCACTGGTAATTAACTAACTGTGCCATCTATCGTTTGATTATAGAAGGGTGTTATTACTTATTACTTATTATTATTATTATTATTATTATTATTATTATATGAGTATTTACTGCAAGATAGGATGCACTGGTAACTAACAGCGACGTCTATCGTTTGGTTATAGGAGGGTTTTAGTTATACATGCATATGCTTCCGACACCCAATATTTAAATCCGGCAACATTATTTTGATAAGTCCGTCGGGTTTACAGATTGTGATTCTCAATGGTTTAAGTAAAATTTTACATTGTTTATTTTTAATCACATTATGTGAAATTAACACGTTTGATATAACACGACTTTGTTTTCAATTCAGTTCAGGCAAGGTTTAGGTAAATGCCCTGAGGTCTTTCCTCATTTTGTTATTATTCCGTAACAAGGACGTAAATTATCTTGGTCGGACAGGAAAATATATATATGTATATATTTTGTTTGCTTGTTTGTTTGTTCATAAAAGCAATGTGGCTAATCTTCATGTGTAGACAATACACATAGAAAAAAATATGAGTGATATATCAACTGTTTTAAAATACGGTTAATATGCAGTTTACATGAGCTGTAGTGATATAACAATATGATGAAGTGATTCAATTCAAATTAATGTTTTCAAAATACAAATAATTATGCAAACTCATCAGGAAGATGTGACATATGTGTCTCTACAAATGAAAACAACTTTGATCTGATTATGATAGATTAATCTTTAATTATCCATCTAGAAAATACTGTTCAAATAAAATGAAAAGATGACACATGACAAACCACCAAATAAACAAGCTGTCGGTAGTTGAAAATGCTTTGAGTGCATAATAATGATTTCCCAGCTTCACAGTTAGCATACATTATATTAATACGAAATGTTTTAGTCCCTTAGCAAATAGCAAAAATGTAGGCCTTCCGCAATTGTCCAGAAATTTTATCGTGCAAATGAGGCCTGAATGCGCTCTTGCAAACGTTGTAAACTTCCGATGCTCCGGTAAATATGCAACAATGCAACGTTTCTTTGCAAGCGTCTGAATACGTCTATAGAATGTTCGCAGCAAACTAAATAGTTTCCATTTGCCACGGATGTCAAAACGTCGATCAAAGCTTAGGGTTTGTTGCGCACTTTCTTCGAAATTCCTGACCTGCGGAGTGAATCCACTTGTTGCACACTGAAAAAGCAACGGTCAGTTGTTGATCAACAATACCGTCTATGCTTACACAATGACGAAGAGATGTCAAATAACTTCAAAAACATAATCATAAAAAAGACAATGGTTCTCTGTGACTTAAACTGATAGTGAAATGAAGGATGCATTTATCATTTTATTTTTCCGTAAGTGTACAAAAATACATTAAATCAAAATCGGAATTACGAAAGTGCATGTAATCGATTAAAAGAAGATACACCCCTTTCTTGGTTTTTTAATTAGAAATGCACACCGTCAGGAGTACATTTATGTATACATAGTTCATGTTATGCACATACCCCATTTTGATCCCGATAACACAGGGCATGCCGCGTGCCTCGTGCGGTAATCTCCAATACCGCTCTGTCTGAGATTGTACCAGAACACAGCGGAAGCCTGAAGTACAATAATATGTCATACATTTTTGAAGTTAAAATACTTTGACTGGCGCTGTCTTCGTCCCGATCGTCAATTATAGAATTACCGCCTCGCTGACTATGGTCTTACTGTCATTACATTTCGGATTTTAAAATATCTTTCAAAAAAGATCTTACCTTTTCTGGTAACACTTGAACCCCAAGTCTTGTGAATACCGTCGCTCCTCCTGCTTCGACATCTGACATCTAGATACAATGATTATTTTAATATTTATTATATAGAATATTGCATTAAAATTAAAAAGAACACTATTTTTAGGAAAACATCATCGACATTGCCCACTAATAAATCAGTTACAGCGCTAATCATTATGAATATGAAAAGTGAAATCCAATGTTAGGCAAATGCGCCCAAGTCAATTGAACTTACGTAAATCAACACGGTGGCTATTCTATTCCCCATCTCCCCGAAGATATCTGGTTCGCTTTTCTAAAAAAAAGACATAATCTGTCTGCATAAAAAATCATTTTGTACATAAAATGTAAGCATTTTATTCAAAGCTGGCATATTTGAAAAGCACTAAAGCATAAAGTTCTTATTATTATTCAATACGTGATATAATAGGGTCAAGGGTAAAACTGCCCATCAAACGATATGGGTGGTTATATATTTGATTCTCAAATATAAAAAAAAAACAATAGTATGCTATTATAACTACCGTACATAAAAATGATTTATAAATGGATCTAGAAGATTGCAGTAATCACTTACCCTGCCGAAATCGTAATGTGGTTCATACTGCCCTCCCATGCCGTAGTTATTGACCTGTGAATAAACTGGAAAATTTTTGATGCACGAAGATTTAGGAATTTTTACTTTTAGTAGAGAAAGCATACTTATAAGTTATGAGATGGTTATTTAGAAGATCGTAGCCCACTGCTATAAAGGGTTTTATAAATTTTATATATAATATCCTTTTTTATGTGTCTTATTGATAAGTAATTATTTTAAAGAACTTTTATGAATTTTAAATGTAGTATAACAGGTTTTATAGTCTCTCACAACCCATAGTAGTGTGGTTTTATTTTTTTAAACGTGAGGCGTTAATAAAATTATTATTATTATTATTACTACTGCTAAAAATGTGTTAGGTGTGATGATAAGCATTCATTGTGACAGTTGTGACACACGCTAAAACTTACCTGAAGCGCTTCAGCAAGCGTCATATCTAGACCACTGACGTCCGCAATACGCCTATCAATACGCGCCAAGACGGGGTCGAGTGAGCCATCAAGGAAAACGCTGCCATTATAACAGGAATATAGAAGAAATCAAAAAAATCAAATCATCTACATGTAAGTGGTGTTACGTGAATATGCCTCATCATCTGTGTAATGCACTCAATAATTACACCAGCTGTGATATGCACTCTATTACAGTTGAACAATCTAACGATTTAACGACATGCTTATATATAATAAAAGACAGGGGGCATAAGACTGTACTTAGTAATACATCGATTTGTACCAAGGCAATGCGACAAATTAAATAGATCAGCTTTGTAAGTTGTTGTGATCAACTCAATATTTTTGCAGTAAAATTGATTTGAAATCTTAATCGGCAACATGTCAGAATATTGTGTGCATTTGTAGGTTTTATAAAGGGTTTTCAGTATACGTACCTTTTGCTGACCCTGTACTCGACATACTCGTGTTCCCCCGTCACTGGGTTGTGAACTGTCGCTCTGTTAAGCTTGAAAAAGATTATGTACGTGTTATTTAAAATGCATTCTCTTTCTGAAATCTACTAGTATGTTTGATTTTCAAAATGATTTTCTTAATTTCTGTACAAAAGAAGCAGAACAACTCCACGCTCAGTTTAATTATCTTTTTATTCTATTTTTATGTAGGCTAACACTTACCCTTGGCGTTGCGATTTCCTTCACTCTCTCAGTCTCAAACTCCGTCATGATGTCATGCCATTTGACAATCAAGGGTTTCAGATTTAAGACCTCCAGTTTGATGGGTCTGAGGAGAAGATTGGCATTCTTGTTGTCCTCGTATCTACATGTCAACTTTCTGGCGCTTTTTGATCGCTGTAATATGATGACATGGAGTTTAGTGGTTTGAATATCTTGTATCAGTTACAGTAAATGGGCGTGAGTGCGTGCTTTTATGAGTAAAGGAGTGAGCACTGAGCAAGTAAACGGTTTATTTATTTATTTATTTATTTATTTAGTGGTCAGAACCAGAGGTTGAGCGGGTTTATCTCAGAACGCACCATAGTTGTATTGAATAGAACTGCTAAAGACACCGGACTACATACATCGTTACTTGAAAGCTTTAAGTATCAGATTTTTTTTTTTTTTTTTTACGTCTTATATGCACTCTCTCACTTACTGGTTTCGTTTCCTCTCCTCTGCATAGCTTCTCGTACGCATCGTACTCCTCGTCGCGATATCCCCTTATCGGTCTCTTATTGTCAATGCCCTTCGCCTTTTCGCCGTCCTCGTCTTCGGCCAGTTTTCTTATTAGGAACTGGTGGTTGTTCTTTACTTTCTCGTCATTTGGGTCTGAATACAGTGCAATACCATATCACTAGGTACGCGCATGCAATGTGATTTTGTATATCTACGTTTTGGATATTTTAGGACAGATGGGCCGAAGGCAACAATGTGATTCAGTTAAAAATGTATGTACAGACGCACAGGAAGCAAATTTGAAGCGGATAGCCATAGTTTAATGTACTGTTCGTAATGTTTAATCGTTGCACATGTCAATTTCACTTACCGATCTCTAGCATTTCCTTGGTGATATTAAAAGCATGTTGGACATTGCCTTGCTGAAAGAAGATTATTTACAACTTTAGTACAGTTCCATCCTCTCTCTCATTCTCTCTCTCTCTCTCTCTCTCTCTCTCTCACACACACACACACACACACACACACACACACGGATTTCAGTCGGTACATCGAATAATTTTAGTTTTGATTTTTCACAAAAACGGATAGGTGTGTCTACTTTTTGGGGTGCAGTTAACCCAAGCCCCTCAAACGAATCGCTTTAAGATTTAAATTTTATAAGTAATATTATTATAACATTGGGTTTTGTGCCAGATAACCACTGAATCTACCTTCAACACACAACACTCATGTTTTCACTTACATTATATGTTGCGAAAGCTAAATAATCCAATATGAGGTAACGAGACACGGATGAGTTGTTTTCTTTCTCCAGACGTCGGAGAGCCTCCTGCATCCAGAGCAGGCAGTGGTAATTGTCGCCCTCGTCGTACGCGTACTTGCCCAAATTGAAACAATCCGTTGCTATGAATGGGAGCATACATATTTTGTTGTTAGGAAAACAAATATTTAATCAGCGAATTGGAGTATAAGTAAAGTATTTGCCCTGCCTATTAATGATTTAAATATTTTAAAAATTACTATTCAAAATACATTTTTCGTCTCCCCCTTAAAATCGTGCTCCTAAACAGCGCCACTGATTAAAATTAGGTCATTTCAATTTAATAGATAAAACATAATCAAATTCTACCTGTGAGTCCAGGAGACCTTTTCACGCCATGCAGAACCCCGTCTGCAATATCTGATGTGTTGAGTTGGTACGTGTCCTGTAGCCTCAGGAGGGCAGCTGCGGCGCCTTCGAGGTCGGACACCTTTGGGAGCCGACCCTCTTCTCTCACTTGCTCGAATTTGGACATCAGAGTTTTCACTGTAAAGCATCAGTTTGTGTGTTTAGAAAGATATGATAAGGGGTAAATACAGGTAGATACATGAATGAATATTCAATTAATGTGCATATTTGAACAACGCATAATGACCGAATGGATAAACCAATAATTAGCTAAGAAAATTAATCATTAAATATAGGCCTATAAACAAATCGATAAATAAATAAATAAAAAACAAAGAATAAAAATGAATGAATGGACAAAGAAATAAAGGAGCAACACACAAAGAAAAAGTACATGGGACTTCACTTATAATATAGGCCTATCACCGTAAACAAACGCAATTGTTTTGTACATGTTTGTGCTTTACCAACCCACTCAACTTTAATAATGCACACTTTAATGTGTGACAGATCAAGAGGGATGTTTCGAGTTAAAATGGTAACATTTCCTTTAGAAATGCATGTAAGGACAACACAAAGCTCATTATATACGCTCGACCACATGCCACTGAACAATGGAGATATTACGCATAAGCAGTAATTGGTGCTACGCACGCACATACAGTATAGGCCTAAATGAATTATGAGTCGACCACATTTTAATTTATCCTGGATGCTATTTTCAAAGAACGCATTCTGTTTGCCATGTTTAAGCAACTTTAAAAGACATTGTCTTTAAAGTCGATGTTTTATTACCATTTATTTTGATACTACACAACGTATCGTGCGTTGCATAAATATGCATGTAGTTGTCGAGCTCATTTCCTACTTTACTACTGAGGAAAGTCAAAGCAAGCATCAAACGTTTCATCTTCTTTTTTTTTTTTTTTTTTTTTTTTTGCGAACATGAAAACAATATCATGTTTAAAGGCGTTAATTACAAAATGCAAATCCTCGCTACATTTTTCATGTATCAAAATGTATTGCAAATTTCCTGATTATTTTTAATTGATATATTTCCTCATGTGTTCTTAAATTTTATCAGTGACATTATTCATTTTTCATTCACATTCCGGGAACCATCTTTCATATAGCCGAAAGGTTTAAATACAAACTATTATTCAACATTAAAATATTTATCAATATTTATCAAAAAATATTCAGTGAACTGTACCTTCGCTGTTTTCATTTTCAAGGGACGCCCTTAAACCGTCCCAGTCTACCGTGAAGCGTTTCATGAAGAGGTAAGCGTTCACAGGGTTCCCCATAAACTTCTCGCTATTTGCCAGGGCCTCCTCACTGTGCTTTTCATATTCATCAGCGACTCTAAAATAAATAAATGAACAGATAAATAAGTAAATAAATGAACAGATAAATAAATAAATAAATAAATAATGTTCAAGGATTCAACTTAATAGTGGTAAAATGTTTACTGGAATTAGGTCAAAAATGTTATTAAAGCTATCACGTCCAACCTGTATTTAAAAGGCTAAACACGCTACTGACTTTCTGTGACTAGTGCTACTTCTAAGATTTATGATGATGATATCTTAATGCATAATCTTGAATTGTCTTTATTTTCTACCGACCTGGCATAAAGCTACATGTTTGAATCACATTAGGATAAAAGCAGTGATTAGTTGAATTTTATTTTAAAGCAGTAGATAGCCGATTACTTCATCCAAAACCTGTCGCATTAGGAAAAATTCATTAGATCTATACAGTTGGGTAAAATTTTATTGCTTGGAAAAAAAAACAATTATTTTGTTAAACGGGATTACGCTTGGCTTGGAAACCGCCAAATACACATAAAGAAACGAGACCATTATTTATTAGAAATAAACGTGGACACGTGCATGTATAGCCATTGTGCCATTCTGCCCAGGACCATGATTACTAGAATAATCTGATCCTTGACCCCCACACCACCCCTCCCCCCTGCGGTGAATTACATGTGCCCCTGCTCATACCCCTGACCTTTGGGAATTTAGATTTGGTCCTTTGTATATATTTCTTTTTTGGTCCCTCAGTACTATGAATTTATTATTATTTGATCTCGATTTGAGATAACGAGTCATCATGGTAGGTCATGTTGCTAACCATGTTATTGACAAATAAATAATACAAGAAAAACAAAAATTTGGCAAAGACATTGTGAAAATGTAGGATAAATGATATTGCGTTTGCCAATTTTCTTCCCTAAATTACATTCTACACGTATTGTTGTATTTGCGGACCCATTATATTTGTGGGTGCGTTAACCTAATTGCACTATGCCTACGTGTATATACCACAGAGATCAGCACTATGCAGTCTGAAATTGACATACCGGTATGTTGCAAGTGCCCACGTGCACTGTTACAGGTACGTTCCTTGAAAATAATCTCAAGAGTATATTACACATGTTGTTGACGTGTTGATATACTCCACAAAACCATTTCAATTGGCCAAAGGTGAAAGAACACATTTGTTTCTTTGGCATTTTAAGTCGCATAGTCTTCCAATTTACTCAAATAACCACCAAGGAGCCTCGTTATAGATTTACTCACTTTGGTGTAATGACGACAAGAATGAGGCTCGTCCTTTAGAGCCACGTAGAATTCTTTCCATTGTCACTTACCTAGAGAGCGCATCCAGCATTGTCTTTTGATTCTGGACATAGTTCCTTATATCTCTCGCCAGCTCCTTCTCCGCAAGGAGAGATCTCTCAAGATGGATAATCGATGAATAAACCTCGCTCCGTACAGAAGAAATGGCGAATATCGAGAGAAAGATCCCGAAGCAGAATGCTACTTTCTCCATGGCGGTGCTGTAACGCATGTAAGCACAGTGTCGGACAAAACCGTCATGAACGATTAATGAGATATTTGAGTATAAAAGCCAATTGTTTTCCGTGAACAACCGCCATACACAGGTGTCACGTAGCTTTTACCTGAACAGCACAAACCAGACCCTCCCGCCGAGTAGGTGGAGACGATTAAAACTTCTTCTTGATACTTTCAACGATTAAAAACTTTGGGGTTGAAATGGCCCTTTTTAATGGTCTTGTTATGTTGGCTGACTATCGTGATTTTCTAATGTTGAAATTGAAATGTGTAACCCATCGAAACGAGTTTTTTATATCAGCGATATCAGCATGGCGTGCGAGGGCTCATTATTAAGATTATAATGGGCATGCTGGAGCTTACTTGAATGCAGTTAACATAGGGGCAAAGAAGTATGGAAGCGCTTCATAGTTTTTCATCACGCCAATGATGCCCCCCGTGGCACGAGTGTAACATCTGCTTTTGTTGGCGAGACATTAAATTTGTATAGTATGGTAATAGAAAAGATGGCTTATCTCAAACGATGGAATAGATTTGAAGTAATGTGTAGCTCGTATTCCTTAACTCATCATCATTATGCCTAATATAAATTGCGGTAATTTGCATCGTGTGGTTGTTCATATTCTACATGTGATTATTATTTCACCTGATGTAAACTAACATGGAGATTCGTATGTTTTTGATACTGTGTCTATAAGTGTGGCATCGGTGTGTACCTGTAAAATGAATTAATGCATCATGTCTTTTTATTTGGACATGTATCCTTTATTAGTTTTTGTGACTAAGAATTTCCTGCTGCAGAAATTGTCAGTGAATTACTCCTCTCATATAGAGGACGTGGTTGGAATAATTAGGTGGTATCCAATTGCATAACGACGTGGGGTGTTTGTAGTCTACTTAAAGCTCTGAAAACGCGTGCACTGTGCAGGCGTCAGCGCGTGCCCGTGCGCGCTTGTGTGTGTTTACGAGTGTACTATATTAATTGTCGTAGGGTGGACACTCTAGATTGTGTGTGTTTGTGCGCGCATGCTCTTGTTTGTTTCCGTGTCCTCACGAGCACGACAGTGAGAATGCATACAAAGTTTGGAAGTCTGGAAAGGATGCTATAGGTGTGCCAGGGTTTTTTTTGTCTTGTAGGAGTTGTGTATAAAATAATGCAGTAGTGGCGACAGCATCTAATGTGATGGCGTTACACACTGACGATTTATCAGTCTTGGATCCGAGTTTTTGCGTAATTTATAACGACGTATACGTCTTGCCATTTTACAACATGGCAACGGACAGTCCAAAACAGTTTTTTTTCTTTCTTTTGAAATGCGCACACACCTTGTGAGTGATGTGACATTACGCGATAAAAAAGGAGCGGGTTTGAAAACAAACAAAATGTAAATCAGGAGGATCTTGGAGAAAAAAAGTCGGTAGACCACAAGTACAATTACATGGCTGTTATGATAGATTACGACTCCAGGACCGCTTTTTGTATCCGTGAACACCTGAGAGAGTTCGTGAGCACATTGTGTAATTCGGCCAGCTGTGTACACATGTGTAAGCAAGACCAGGACTGACTTTTCAAACAATTCAATAAATAAAATTGGCCAGAATTGCGTTTTACTTAGACAGTAAATAATATTAGTTAATCAGGACGTTCCGTTTACCAAACACCGTGTTTTACCGATGTTATTTTGTCTCTTATTAAAAAACAACTCCACAACTTTTCCCGCAAAATTGCTTAAAGACAGACGGAAACAAAAACACAACAGCTTTGGCGGCGGTGATTAAAGATGTGAAATTAATAATGTGTATCTAAATGCTCTTCCTAAACTTTATAATTTCTAATAGTACATAATATAATTCAAAGACTCTTCATATTAGGCCTCTCGATGTATAGTCACCAACTGCGAGAAAGTATGTAAGCAACCAACGCTGATTTTGCACCATAAATTAAGGGTCTATCTTGTTATCTGAACCAAACATACTGCCTGATTTTTTTCTCATTTCTGCTACTCACGTGATATTTAGATGTATAGTTTCCCAAGACTACCTTCACAAGAACTGCACAACTTTAATTTATTTCCAATAAACGGTACTTTATAAGGAAAGAATTTTCTTTGAAAATAGCTGTTGGAAAATTACGTTTAGCGTGATATTTATTAAAATTACAAGGATTTGGTTTTTGGTGATGTCATTTTAATTATATGGCTTGTATCTTATGGTGAAATGTTACTGAGGATGCGCTTCTAGTCACGTCGTCATAATTACGTGCGCTTATATAAAGAGCTGTCTTTAAGAGACCGTAGCATTAGCGGCACAAGACAGAAGGAAACTGCGAGTAGTCCAGGAAATTGGTNGAGAACAAGGTAAGATCTCTAATTGGGCATGACATTTGTACCGAATATCTTTACCGGTGATCCACAGGCGGGGTTAGTTCTAGAAAGCTAGCCTTTATTGATACCCTAGTGATCAACACAGAAATTCAGTTAGCTGGGTGCAGTGATGTTGGATTTCGCTGTTTGAAGAGAACGCGCCATGAGAAAAAATGTGTCCAACCTTCTAGCAGAATAATGGTGACGATGATCTAGCGACAAGGTAGTAGCTTCTTGAGTTAAATTTAATTTCTGTTGCTGTCGGTGACATTTACATGTACAAGCATGTGCACAATTGTGCACCAGACATTTTTTGTGGCGATTATAGTTTAATATTACAAAGATTTTGATGAAGTATATTATGTATGTACTTACACCACAATGATTTACATTAAGTATAGTACACACACTGTATCGAGAATTAATGGATCACTACTTATTTTTGGTCTGAACCCTCTGAACACTTCTAATTAACGGCCAGTTCAGTCTTTTTTGACTTTCTGATATTATTATTATTATTATTATTATTATTATTATTATTATTATTATTATTCGGAATAAAAGTAATAAAATTCCAAAACCAAGAGTTACCCGTATCTTTATTTTCAATAGACATAGGTAGAGATGCGCTCAACTATTGGTATGCTAACCTGGCTTCTTTTCGGCTGGATTCCGACTACCCTTGCTTTAGGTATGTATAATACATGAGGAATATGTATTTATTTACTTAATCCTTATGATGTTTACTTTTCATTATTTATTTTTTATCATTGGGGAGGGACAGGGGGTGAAACAGGCCCATACGGTAAACATGACTTCTAAAATGCTATATGCAGTAACATATACTGTATAATTGAACTTCTATAAAGTCAATTAAAACCAGGTATGATACCTCATGTTAATAATTGTCTCTTTCAGGTCGCTCAGATATTAGACTCCGAGGAGGTGCCGGTTCGGCAGAAGGTCGAGTAGAGATCAGATGGAACGGAGTATGGGGAACTGTATGTGACGACAACTGGGGGATGGAAGAGGCAACAGTCGCGTGTAGAATGCTGGGCTACCAGTAAGAGCGTTTAACTTTGTTACAAGCTTATGCGTTAACTTACAGCATATGAATACATATTATAAGGAAGACATTAAGTTTTTAGACTCTTCAGAACATGTTGATACTGTCAAGCGTAGATGCAGATAACCGAGCAAAGGTCACGCCCCTTTTCTCTGTTATTTATTTATTTATTTATTTATTTATTTATTTACTACCTCTAACGCACAAATGATACGCTTTTTCTGTCAGTGAGGCTGAGCAGTTTTATCAACGTGCTCACTATGGACAGGGCAGCGGACGTATCTGGTTGGACGATGTCAGCTGCAAAGGTACAGAGAGATCTTTAGAGGATTGCTCACACAGAGGCTGGGGGGAGGAGAACTGCGATCACTGGGAAGATGCCAGTGTGAAATGCGGGAAATCAGGTAAGATACAGTTTTTTATACAATCTGGATTATGCATGCACTTTTCGTTGAGAAATAATTCAAACTATAGTTTGATTGGAGTGGAAATAAGCACAAATCCTAAGGCACACGTTTGCTTATATTTACTTTCATCCTCCCATTTTCTTTCCTTCTTTCTTTTTTTGTCGTTGTTTCCATTTTTATTTTATTTTTCTCTCTATCTTCCCCTACCCCCAAGTTGTTGACACACTTCGGGTTGTTGTACATGTACAATCTTGTCCATGCCTTCAGGTGACCCGGGCAGGTCCGAAATAGCTATCAGACTCGTGGGAGGCTCCAGCTCAGCAGAAGGTCGCGTAGAGATAAAAAGGACGGAATATGGGGTACTGTGTGTAGGGACGGCTGGGGAGTAGAAGAGGCGAGAGTCGCGTGTAGAATGCTAGGGTTTTTGTACGTATAACTTTTTTATTTCAAGGCTTCGGGCAAGGTGTTTTTAAAAATAGGTAAATGTGTGTATTGCCTCTTGCAAGTACATGTAACGAAGACTTCAAATACGCAAAGGATTTTTACAGTTGATCGGTATGTTCTTTTTCATAATAATAACTATTATTACTTATGGCATGTACCTTGTTTTTATGAACCCCACAAGCCATTTCTAAAGTGATAAGGCATAAATAAACCTACCCGGCGGTCTCCGGGTGTCTCTGGATCGAATCAAGGCGTTAAATAATGTATCTCTGTGTGTATAACTTCTTGGTTTAATATACCCTGTGTCTCAAGGTATTATTGCTGACTCTCCACAACACACTGTTTCTCAAAAATGCAAAGTGGCGTTGTTTGTAGCGGCGAATTCTAATAAATTAAGTGTGACACTCAGGGTGCTAACCCGTGGGACTTTATACAACATTGGTCAAAAAGGTTGTCCCACCCCCAGTATCATATGCTTTTATTTATAAATGATCACCTCACAGATGAAATTTGTTATAAACAGTGATTTTCATTCCAGATACCATTACTAACAAGATTATTGGAATAGAAAATACGAATAAGCGGTGAAGATATCAATATCTAATACCATTTATTCTCATTTAATACATGAACCCCCTTAAATCCGACGTTTCACTGTGATTTTCACAAAGGCAAAGAAATGTCCATTACAATGAAAAGACACCACCAAATGTCACCAAATTTACATACATTTAGCATTAGAGTGTGCTCGTTAAAGGTCACGTGTCTTATAGCGTGTGTGTCTACCGCGTACTGTAATTATCTCATGTAGGCGGCGCGGCCTGCCTTCAACAAGGATACCAATTCTGTTTTTGGGGATATTGTCCCATTCTTCCCAAAGAGCTTGGGGGAGTTGGTTCTGATTATTAGGAGTTTGGTTCTCCTTTGTATTGCATACTTTTTCCATGCCACAGATGCTTAGTAGGATCAATATCAGAGGTCAAAGATGGTTGCCCCATCCTCTGAACATTGGATTTCTGCAACAAATCATTCAGCAGACGAGAACTGTGTGCAAGTGCATTTCCACGATGACGCCAACAGTATCCCTGAAGTCACCTCTTGCAAATGGAGTGAGATATTAGTTGAGAATGTTTCAGTGAATTGCCCCAACAACGTTCTTTTCCAGAAAGAACAGTGTACTAAAACCATGGGCCCTCCAAACGTGGACTGACCTGACACCTCTGGCGATATCATCCTGCATACACCTTCCAAAAGCATTCTGCTACATATCCATGGGCCCTAATTTGACCATCGAAGGCATACAAGAAATACCTTGATTTTTCAGCAAAACCAACTTGTTCCTAATGATGGTTAACCAAGTTCTGGTAGTTCTGTAATCACTGAACCTAACATTACCAACTGATACCTCATTCCCTCTGCAAGAGGGGACTTCAGGGGCGATGCAGGCTTCATCATGACAGCACACTTGCATACAGTTCTCTTCTGCTGAATGATTTGTTGCAGAAACCCAGCGTTCTGAGGCTGGAGAAACCATCTTTGAGCCCTGATAATAAACCTACTGAACACCCGTGGCATATGCAACCCAGAGGAGAACCAAACTCCAAATAGCCCGGACCAATTCTGCCAAGGTTTTATGGTAACATGGGTCAATATCCCACAATACAGAATTGCTATCCTTTTTGAAGGCAGCGACGCCGTCTACAGGATGGTAATTACCGTACGCGGTAAACACACACGCTAATTAACAAGTGACCTTTAACGAGTACTCCCTAATGCTAAATGTGTGTAATTTGGTGGCTTTTGGTGGTGTCTTTTCAATTGAATGAGCATTTCTATAACTATGTGATAATGACAGTTGAACATCGGATTTGAGGGGGTACATGTGATAAATGTGAATAAATGGTATTAAATATGGATATATTCACCGCTAGTTTGTATTTTCTGTACCACTAACCATGTTAGTTATGGCATCTGGAATGAAAATCACCATTCATAGCAATTGACTCCTGTGATGTGATCATTTATAAATAAAAGCACATTAAACTGGGGTGGGACAACCATTTTGACCAATGTTTTATATAACCCAACGTAATAAAAATTAACGGATTATCTCTGCAGAGATACAGAGCAAAACTATCATAGAACAAAGTTTGGGCCCGGCAAAGGACTTATTTGGCTTGATGACGTCGTCTGTAAAGGCACGGAGACCTCCCTGGCAGACTGCAGACACAGTGACTGGGGACATATGAACTGCCACCATTCAGACGACGTTGGTGTGAGGTGTATCTCGGAAGGTAATGACGTCATCATTTTCACTATGTCATCGTCGTGTCAACGTGTGATTTTTTCTCTCTCGTTCTCTTTTTGTTTTGTATAAGTTTTAATAGACATTAGAGAAAGAAGCAAACACCACCAACTATCAGTAAGTCAGCAACAAAAGTGAGGGAGAGATTAAATTGTTGAATGCGTGAGAGAGCGTGGGAGTGACTATATGCTCGGATGAGTAAATTAGTTGGTAAGTGCTAGTAGATCTTGTTGGAAAGAGAATGCTACTGTTTTACGTCACAGCCATGCCCTAGCAACGCAACGCAACGCAACGCCCTTCAATAAAGAAATATTGAATACATTGCACGTGGTTTTACACAGTATAACAACATCCATATGACACTTAAGAGTTTTCCTTTTCAACAATCAAACGGACCATACCAAAAAGTATAAAGTCGTCCCCACAGCCTATATCATACCGTTGCAAACAGTTCTATCTTGGTAACTAGCTTTGATAATATGTTTTAATGACAGCAAAGATCATGTTGATTACAGAAATATCAAATGCATATTTGAAGATGATGATGATGATGATGATGATGATGGTCGCATTCAAAACCAGTTTATCCGAGAACTAACTAGTCTGCGGATCAAATATGGCACGCACTTGTCAATGGATTCCCCGCCTCCCACTCGCACCCTCAGCAGGGGCAGTGCAAGTGTCTCGGGCAATATTAGATCCGGGGACTAGTTAGTCCGCTGATCAACTGATTGTGAATGTGGTATATCACAAGTTTGCTTGTCTTACATTAGAGCCAATAGAGATACGCCTAAGAGGAGGGTTTTACAGAAGCGAAGGTAGAGTGGAGGTAAGGAGAAGAGGAGGACAGTGGGGGACCGTATGTGATGACGGCTGGGGGATGGAAGAGACAAGAGTTGCATGCAGAATGCTGGGCTATAGGTGCGTTTTATAACATACAGTATATATATATATAGATCGATTATATATTTGTAGATCGATCCCTAATGGATATGTTAAATGTATAAATCGATTACTTTAAATAGATAATAGGTACACGATAGAATGGATGACCTTATTAGCAACGCTGTGTAGAAATAATTTAACTGGACCTGTTAAGGCAAATGTGATGGTCTTAAGATGTGTTCTCTCTCTCTCTCTCTCTCTCTCTCTCTCTCTCTCTCAGAGGTCAAAGCAGCCAACATGCTAAAAAAGATTGTCAAAGGAAATAATTGTGGGACAAAATTTTAAGACCTATGTATATTCCAATGTCCACTATGTGTAATAGGTTGTCCTAATTAAGGTATGTTTAGCCATACAATTGCACCCTTTGTGTGTGTGTGTGTGTGTGTGTGTGTGTGTGTGAAATATGATCTAGCCCTGCTGCACTTTCTATTCCAGGCACTCCGAGACGGCGTCCATGGACGAAGATTTTTACCCTAGGGCGCATCTTGGGGAGGGAACGGGGCCTATCTGGATGGACGACTTGGACTGTACGGACCGGGAAAGTTCCCTCACAGAGTGTCGTCACCGAGATTGGGGTCAAAGCGATTGTAGCCACAAGGAGGATGTTGGCATCAAATGTGATGGTGAGGCCACATTGCTTTTTTTTCTTTTTTCGTTTTCTTTTCATGTTTTTTCCTTGCCTAGTTTTCACTTCGAGTGTCCCTATTGTGCTAAATTTACCATCGACGACAGTAAATGTTCTCTTCTTGATGATGTTCTAAGGACATTTACTTGCTTCCACTAGGAAGTGCATATGTGCAAATGTACTTGCGTCTATATCTTGAAAACGCTCCGAAAAGTGCTTTTCTTTTCACAGATTATTTATATTAACAGCACTACTTTTCATGGTTTACTATTATTGTTGCAAACATCGCTTAATTTTTTTCGTAATGCATGGAAATCATGTGAGACTCATATTTGAAATCCAAACAGTGTTGGCAATGAAGGTAAGTGACATGTCCGGCGTATCACAAAGGTGAGGATTCCAGGTAAGTACGTGAGTATCTCCGAAGCTCTGGCGGACAGGTGTCTCCAATCCCTCCCTTCCCATAAACTAGGATCCGGCATAGATCCGTCTTTTATGCTATGTCCGGCGAACAAAGCGGCGCAAGATGGCAAGGCAGTCCACATTCAACTCTGAAAGAAACATGCTCTTTGCTTAATCACAATGGTAATTTCATCTTCTCTAGTGCCCTGCCCAGACGTTGTTTATCAGCGAGAGTGGGGAGGAAGAAGTCCCGATCTGGAAAGCCGTCATCAGATGAGTGGTCCGGGCCCGTACGTCATCATTATCCACACCGGAACACGTGGCTGCAACACCGAGCAAGCCTGTAAATCTCTCGTGAGAGAGATCCAGGATCATCACATGGATAAGAAACGTGAGTATCATATGCATTTATACATTTTAAATTTATCTGTATGTGTGTTTATAACGGGATTAAGACCATCAAGATGATGCAAGTGTACACCCTCTTTTTGATTAAGATCATCAAGATTATCTCTGCGTTTTAAGTAAGATAAGCAAAGTGCCAAATAATATTTTTCTCTTTTATTTACACGGTTTTATCATTGATTTGCATTAATGACTGATATACACAATAGTGCAATCTAGAAACATATGTAGTCTATGGCAGTACTCTGACGTCAGTATGACGTCACTGTGTTCAAACGACGACATGTATGACGTCATGTTGCTCTTACTAGTAGGTATTTTAAAACAGTGAAATATACTATTTCCAGACTGGGCGGACATAGTGTTATAGTGAGGACTGACGACAGCAGTTTGGAGCTTTCGAACGTTTATTCACCGACTCTCTCTTCATACAACTTCACAAATATTTATACTCAATTTCTCCGTACTGATCACGCATTTACTTGTTTTCTTTTCCATTGTCTTTGCGTGATTACAAAATATTTTCCATTCTCATGTTGCAAGTCACTATGCAACATTTCCTTATTAGGTAATCCCTAAGAGACTTGTTTTCAATTAAAGATATCTAAAATATTATTTGGATTACTCATACTTGGATCTTATCCAAAACTCAGTTATCATGTGATAAATAGATGATCAAAATTAAAATATGTTATGAAACTAACCAATCACATTAACTGTTATTGACTTTGACCTTTTCCATCTTTTTCTGACACTAAAAACATGTTCTACACTTGTTGACTCTTGGAGAAACTTAACTTATACTCAATACCTCTCTGTCTTTTTACTCATTTGATTCCGCTTTAATTGTTTTCTGTAATTAGTGAAAGTGTAAGTAATTTGCTTTACAACATACACCCCTTCTTCAAAAGAATTCGTCCTCGAATTCTAAAACTTTACAACATACGCTCCTTTTTCATTTTTTTAAAGCAAAGCAAATACTAAATAACACAAAATACGTAAATTTTCAAAAAGATTAAATGATAAGGTCACATATATGTCATCAATCTAAATGTTATACGCAAGTTCGTCAATTTCTGCAACATTAAATAAAACAATAATAAAATTAATGATAACCTTCTTTAAACACTCCATGTCTATCATAAAGTCAAGCAAAAATATAACTAAGAAAAGTAATTCTATATAAGTTACTTATACTTAAAATTAAAAACACATTCGACATGAAACCAAAAATATTAATTTGAATCTCTTATTATGGCTCTGAAACACTTTATTATACAGTTTTCTCTTTCGGTTGTCATTAAAGACATATGAGGAATGCACTACGTGAGACAATAGGGTTAGCTACTCCCTGTCCAATGAATATCATTCACCACAACGTTGCGACCAGCGCATCGCTCATGATGAAGTACATTTTCATCTTCGTATTTGTCCACATTCTAGCTATCCTCTGTGATGACACATCCTTGACACATCGGCCATTCTCTTATCGGATTTCGTTGTTGAGGATAGTTCGTATGTCTAGCTGATGTTAATGTGTACTCTGAGCGTCGCAGATGCCTGTTGCGTTGGGGCATACGTCTGGCGTTGGGAGTGAATTTTCCTGGATATTCTGTAGGGCTCGCTCTTGGGTTTTCAAAGTTTGCTTCATTTCTAGTCTCACTTGGGTCTTGCAATAGATGGATTGCAGATTGTGCATTGACGGCGTCTTTAATTGCACTCTGAAGTGTGTCTATTTTATCTGTTATCATTTTTATGTCATTTCGTTGACCTCTTCTCGTTGGCTGAACTGCGTTTTCTGCAATGCGCGCGTGGTGCATAAGAGAACCAAAGTCAAAGGGCTCCTTTTGCAATACAAATGGGCGGATTTCGGGGAGTAACCCATTTATTACCACTGTAAAGGCTGTTCCCTCATCTAAACGCGCACGTTTGGCGTCGTGACGCATCGACTCGATGTACCTCTGTACTGGTTCTTCTGTCAACTGTTGACGTCTGAAAAAAGCTGAGGCTTTCTCCCAAGTTTCTCCGGATTTCAGTTCATATCGCTGTCGGAACTCGCGGACTAGCGATTTCCAGTCTTTCTGTATTTCCACTGTAAAACACTCGAACCAGTTTAACACTGTTTGATTCAGTAAGAGAGGAAATAAGGCGGTGATTTGTTCATCTTCTAGTTTTTTATACTGCGTATAGTTTTCAAATTGATTTAACCACCTTTCTACATCTTCGTTTGTGTTACCAGTAAACTTTTCTGGCGCTAAAGTCAAATCTGAGGACATCTTCGTTTTTTTCAGTTATTAATTGTTGCTAGGGTAATGACTTTTGGCGATTTTCAATACCCAGCATAATCAGTTTTCGCTGCACTGGGGCACTGACGATGTTTGCCCTTGGGTGGATGGTGTGAACCCTTCGGTGTCTACGCTCCTGCCGCCGTCATCACCATAACTGTATCGCCGTTCCACTTGCCTCGGTAGAGCGGGGATCGATTTTTCCTCCACCACTTGTTATAGTGAGAAACTGACGACAGCAGTTTGGAGCTTTCGAACGTTTATTCACCGACTCTCTCTTCATACAACTTCACAAATATTTATACTCAATTTCTCCGTACTGATCACGCATTTACTTGTTTTCTTTTCCATTGTCTTTGCGTGATTACAAAATATTTTCCATTCTCATGTTGCAAGTCACTATGCAACATTTCCTTATTAGGTAATCCCTAAGAGACTTGTTTTCAATTAAAGATATCTAAAATATTATTTGGATTACTCATACTTGGATCTTATCCAAAACTCAGTTATCATGTGATAAATAGATGATCAAAATTAAAATATGTTATGAAACTAACCAATCACATTAACTGTTATTGACTTTGACCTTTTCCATCTTTTTCTGACACTAAAAACATGTTCTACACTTGTTGACTCTTGGAGAAACTTAACTTACACTCAATACCTCTCTGTCTTTTTACTCATTTGATTCCGCTTTAATTGTTTTCTGTAATTAGTGAAAGTGTAAGTAATTTGCTTTACAACAATAGGATACAACTTTTTGATCGGCGAGGACGGTAACGTGTATGCTGGGAGAGGGTATGGCAAAGTTGGAGCCCACAGTGGGAGCGCAGTTAACCGCAAGTCTTTGGGTAGGTTTAACTGTAGCCCTGCATGGGTAATTCTTTATCATAATTTTATATTTATTTATTTTCGTAGGTTTTTATGCAACTGTGGGTTTATTGCTTTGGCCGACCATTTACCTATTTATTTATTTGAAAAAGAAAAATGCTTTATTTTGTATATATAAAAACCAATTTACATATATATTGACAGAATAAATTGATAATGTTGTTGATATAAACGTTTAGCCTGATGCCTCATCTGATTCAGATTACATTGGTATTTATTTTATTCACATTTTTCATATTTTCAAATTTAGTCATAATTATGAAACTTCTGAATGTATTGCTATTGTTAACCGGAGCGTTTACCTACATGGGGTGCATGCTTATTTGCTTCAGTAATATAATTGCTACAGTAATATAATTACGGTTGGGGTACATCCTCATGTAAATATGGAAAGAAAAAAGGCAATCATCAGGTTTTCGATCATTTCAGGCATTGCCGTGATGGGCGATTTCAGAGCCAGAGTCCCAAACGCCGCAGCACTAGATGCAATTAAAAATCTCATCGCCTGTGGAGTGAAATATAAAATGATACCACGTGACTACATACTTAAAGGACACCGTGACGTCATCAGTACACAATCCCCCGGGGACGCTCTGTACAGAGCCTTGCAGAGTTGGCCACATTATGATGCGCATCGCTTAGTTAATACTAAGTGATGAACAATAACTTGAACTGATTCTTTCACATAATTAGTTGTAGTCTGAATTTCCAAATTTCTAAAATAAAAAAAAAATTCTAAAATTGGTAAAATATGAAACTGAATGTTACTTTAAGCGATTTTATAAAATAACGCGCCGGACATTTTCTTTCTGAATTTCCAAAACAAGAAAGGCTTGATATAATGCAGATATAGACCAGTCCTTTAAATTAAGTCATTTAGCTCTGTTTTAATATGTGTGTTTTGTTAGTGCATATAGAATTTAATTATCTTAAGTTTAAACTTATAGGCCCTACATTTGTGAAATTTCTCATGAGTGTACGATACAAGACAATTCAATAAACGTCTGAAAAATATCACTCTCTTTTGAATGGGTCCATCTATGTTTTAAATATTTCAAAAATGACAAGATTATGAGTAAATGAATAAATAAATAAATGAATAAATAAGTGAACCAATTAATGAACAAATAACATTATTGTAACGATGTACAGGTTGTGTACTGGATACAAATGCATCCTGTCCTCTCTAACACAATCCCGCCCCTGTTCTTTCATTTATTCGTCCTATGGAAGCCAATCTCTATGTCTGACCATATATGTAGTCTGAGAAAATGATTTTTGTTTTCTTTTTGTGTGTGTCAGTATGAATTTATCAACCCCTTGTTCTCTTTACGACATGGAGACTTATTGTGCCTTCTCACACATCGGGCTAAAATTCAAAGCGTTCAAACCGAGGCGTCCGCACGGAAAGTATGTGACCTATTATCATATGAGTCAGGTGACCCTTTTGGTGAGAGGTGTTCAGGTAGAACCTGGGTCAGTAGAAGATGGAGAAGAAAGATGTCCCATGCCATATTACTTCTATATCCACGTGTAGGCCGAAAGGATAGCATTGAAACCAACAGCAGTCATTCCGTAAGTTCCGTACAGATGATAAAAATGTATTGTAGCATTTCTTAGTTTTGCATTGACGATATTATCCTGAAAAGGTGCATGTCGCACTCTAGGCATATTGAACACTGGTATATCTTACTGACGTGAAGGACACTTTCTCTTAGCTTTTCCTCAGTGCCTTTTCGACACCCATTTGTTTCTCATACTACAAGGTTTTCTCGTTGTTCAAGAAGGAAGTGAGGTTTCAATATGAATACAGTATATACCTTTATAATTTTAATGTTTAACAGCCACTTCTTTATCATTACGCAACGTACACTGACACGGATTGCTGTAGTGAAGATAAACTGCTTTGTCAGATAAATAGACATTGTTTTATGAATAACAATTTATATGTTTAATTCCAGTTCCTGTAACTACTGTTTACGAAGATACCAGAAGCGCCCTACTCAAAGACATACACGCAGGTTTCGTGTTCGCCATATACATGTAATACAGCGCCGCACCCATGCCAAGATTGCCTCTTTTGTCGATGTTTGTCTAATAGTTAATTTGCAGGGACGACATTTAGTGTGGAATGTAATGTTTGAATTTGGTTATAACATTCCGCGCCAAAAATTATATCAGATTATATTATATTATATTATATCAGTGTCATAATAATGAGCTTTTTCTTCTTGAAACGTCTGTCAACTAGTTAATCAGCACTAAGCGTCGGCCCTGTATCTTCTCATTCCAATTTAAGAGTATTTTCTTCTGTAAGTTTGGAGGTACGTACCAGTCAGTTTTCGAACCTGAAAAAAATTTAATAAATAATATCAGTGTAAAAACACCTTGCTTAAGTGAAGTATAAAAACAAAATTTATAAAGTGTGTTACAAAATTATTTTAAAGCAATGTCCAGGTAGAGATCTGTACTGGTACAAAAATCCAACTATTTTTCACTGAAGATATTGACATGGGCAAATCTGCAATTTGAAATTTCCCTATGAATTTGAGCTGCTTTTTAATCATTTTCACTTGAATTCCAATTTTTATACTATGCACTTAACACTTCTGGAGAGGAAAACATTGCAACTCCATTATGAAAAATACATATTGCAGACCTTTTATAATATATCGTGTATTCCATCAAAACGCCCGAAATATTAATCTGAAAATACACCAAATTATAACTGCTTGGAAATCGGAACATTATGTGACAAGCAAATTGTACCCAAAGTATTGCAGAATTGCCCACGTTTACAGAAAATATCTTTCAACAATTGTGATTATGATTTGTGACTGTGAATAAACTTCTTTGGTTCTCGGTGTTTTCCGTGCTGGGCGGGGATCAAATCTCTTTTTTTATGAAACAAAATAAAAGTAGGGAGTGGGGTAGAGATCATTTTTCAAAATTATTGCAGAAGCAGAATATAGAAATTTGTTGCACATATGATGAGAAAACTGTTCATATAGTTGGCTGTGAAAATCTCCAGAATTGGTGTCATTTAAATGTTGTTTAGGACTTTATCCAATATTAGAAAACAGAAATGGCAAAAAGCAAAAAACCAGTAAAATTAAAATTATTCCTTAAAATGTATTCGTAGGACTGACATTTATCATAGCCTTTTCCATTTTATATTTTTTGAAATCACATGAGCTATAGCAAGGCTGAATTTCACGCGGGGGGGGGGGGGGGGGGGGGGGGGGCCTTTTAAAAGGG